CCTTCAAATATTTAAACAGGGCTTCTTAACCGTATCCTCTCCAAGCTAAACATACCCAGTTCCCCAAGTTGCTCCTCATAGGGATTCATGGTTTCCAGACCCTTTACCATTTTGGTTGCCCTCCTCTGGACATGCTCCAGTTTCTCCACATCCCTTTTGAATGGTGTTGCCCAGAACTGGACACAGGATTATTCCAGGTGAGGTCTGACCAAAGCAGAATAGAGTGGTACTATGACTTCCCTTGATCTAGACACTATTGATGCAACCTAAAATTGCGCTTATGTGTCACAATCATTCATCTGAATGCCAAGAAGATGCTGCCTCTGTTGACATCTGGAAATTCAGCTGACGGAAGCCCAGGCAATTAGCAAGTGCGCATTGTTCATTAGTGGATTTGTGATTTCTCCTGTGTTCATTTTTGTACGGCGCACAGTCGCATTCCTCATTAACTGATTTGGGCGCAGATCAAAAACGGGCATCGATCAAACAAACTGCATGAGCCCAGGGTATGAATGAAATGCCAGGCTGCCACATCTCACTATAAGCTGCTGTTGGAAGCATCTTCCAGGCTGAGTCATATTGTAAATGCTCGACTATAAGTCAACCTCACATATAAGTTGAGGGCAGGTTTGGGGACCAAAATTGTGGATTCTGATATGACCTGCGGATTAGTTGAGAGTAAAACTTAGGGATGTGTAATAAAGGATCTAAAGGATGAAGCAAAGGAAAACAATGCCAAAAAACGTACAAAATTCCAGCAATTTGTGCTCAAACTAAAGGCTACATGGATGGATGAGTAGAAAGTTGTTGGTGCTACCAGGACAGATTTGTTGGCAGTCTCCCATCCAAGTACCAGCCAAGGCTGACCCTGCTTAGATTCCAAGACCAGATAGGATCTAGTGCCTTTTGGGTGTTTAGTCCCATTAACCTCTGATAAAGCCAGATTCAAATTGGTTTCAAAAGCCAGAGGCCAAGAGGGAGTTTGGGGAGACTTAAAGAACATGTGTCCTTCCCTTCGCAGCCTTGCAAAAGTGATCCAGTCAGGAGCAGAGCAATATGTATGCACCAGAGATTTGTATGCAGAACCTTAATTGGGATGGATGTAATAATGATGGGTATTAGGCTGTAAGTAGCAATTTTCCTTGTGGCACTTAATTCCGTCGGTGCAATAGCATTTGTGTTAGACCCATTAATTTGGCTTAAAGGACCTTTTCTCAGCGGTTGGTTCAGTCTGTCTGTAATATAGCAAATTTCATCAAAGAACCTACAGAAAGGGGATGGATGAGAATGCAGAAGCAGGTGTGACAGATCTGGGTTTTTACTCCTTGCATGGGCATATACAATGCCATCGGAGAAGCCCTGGAAGAGCAAATGAAAGGCCAGGCTGGGCCAGTATGTTCTCAAGTTACCCACAACCAAAATTTGGGTCTTATCCAGGGAGGCAGGTTATGCATAAAATAAAAGACTGCGATCTTCTTCTTCCAACCCTCGCTTACCAAAACCTTGTGTTTGGTGACATTGGATGGAGCTTGCATCCATACATAGGCTCCAACAGCCTATATACGCTGAAGGCACCAGATCCTGTCTGATTTCAGAAGCTAAGCAGGCGCAGACCTCAGCTGCATCTACGCTGCAGAATTAATGCAGTTTGATACTGCTTTAACTGCCATGGCTCCATGCAATGGAATTCTGGGATGCATCGTTTTGTGAGATATTCAGCCTTCTCGGGTCTAATCTGCACTATAGAAATAATCCAGTTTGACACTGCTTTAATGGCCATGGCTCCATCCTATGGTATCCTGGGATTTGTAGTTTGTTGTGGCACCAGAGCTCTCTGACAGAGAAGGCTGCTGAGTAGCTCCCAAAACTACAAATCCCAGAATTCCATAGCATTGAGCCCTGCCATCTTTATGTACCCATGCAAGAGAGCTCCGCAAGAATGATTGTATGGCAAACGTTGCAATGACGTAAAGTCGGAGGATTGGTACACAACTCTTGTGCTGAAAGGCATCATGGTACAGCGGAACCAAAACACCAAATGTGCAACCAAATGCACATAGGCAATACATGTGTGGCTCCATTTCAGCAAGCTTGGACTCAATATAGATGTTTGGAAGAGACAAAAATGTCCATTGGTTTCCGTAAGGGAACTTATTATGCATGTGCAAGAGACCATCGGGGTTCTGGCTAAACTGCAAGCAACACCTTCATTCAGATTGATGGTTGGTAAAAAATAATAATAATAATAATAAGTGGAATTGAGTATGAACAAGATTAGTGAGAGAAATGATGGGAGCATTTTACAGGCCCCAGAAATGTCAATATGCCAATAGGTGAAGATGACTTTCGGTGCAACTGAACAATGTTCAGGAAATGTCGCTGTTAGGTGACAAGGGCTGACAGTCGCTCAAGAGTCCTTTGGGTTTAACCATCTGTGACTGCAGAAAAGGGCTTTGATGCTCGGCTGGCTTTTTAATGGTCTCTGCCAGACGCCTTCAGCTGCAGCTTCTGGAATAGCAAAGCAAAACAGCAGCGGCGCCAGGCCAGAATGCCATGATTTAGGCCCAGGTTGTTGTTGTTTTGTGCCTTCAAGTCCTTTCTGACTTATGGCAACACTAGGAAGGGGAGTGTTCTTGGAAAGATTTGTTCAGAGGCTGAGAGACTGTCACTTGCCCAAGGTCACCCAGTAGGTTTCCATGGCCGAGCAAGGATTCAAATCCTGGTCTCCAGAAACATACAGTCCTACGTTCAAACCATGATGCCATGCTGGCTCTTTAAGGCCAGGAGGGAGCCTAGATCTCTGTTGGTCTTTTCCACACTGAGAACTGAGCAGAAATTACTTTTAATTTTGCAAAATTCTCCCCTCTCCAGACCTGGAAAAAAAAAAAGATCAGGAAGGGAGCAAAGACTTAGCAAAATTGCCCCCATTCCCCTTAAAGGGAGCAAAGGTCTTTTTAAAGTTTATTGAGCTGGGCAGTGAAAGAAAGAAGGTCAACCCATTTGAGAGAATATGGTGCTGGAAAAGACTTCTGAGGATACCTTGGATGACAGCCAAAAAGACAAACAAAGGGGTCCTAGAGCAGATCAAGCCAGAAACCTCCCTGGAAGAAGCCAAGATGACCAAACTGGGGCTGTTGGACTTTGGACACATCATGAGAAGCCATCATTCATTAGAGAAGACATTAATGCCAGGGAAGGTGAGGAAATGCTAGGAAAAGAAAGGTGGTAGAAAGAGAGAAGGACCATATACCATATGGAGAGACTCAGTTGAGGAGGCCACGACTATGGCAAATTTATTTTAATTTATTGTAGCGTGTTATTTTTAAGTATGTTTTTAAACTTCGATTGTTCAATTGTATTTTAAGGGGAGTGGGCTATTGGGGGATAGGATTGTTCATTTTATTGAGTAAGCCACCCCGGTTCTATTTTACAGAGAGACAGGATACAAATTATTATTATTATTATTATTATTATTATTATTATTATTATTATTGCCTTTGCATCTCCCTTTGAAGATGCAGATGGATGGCCATCTGTTGGGGATGCTTTAATTGGGAGTTCCTGCATGGCAAAGGGTTGGACTGGATGGACAGGGGGGCTTGGAGGTCTTTCCTTCAAAGTTTCCATGAACTGAGACTATCATGAAAGCAGTTAACAAGAACAGCGGCAAGCAAGCAACAGCAATGATCCCTCTTACTCAGAGTTTGGAAACATTAAGGGTTTGTTTTCTTTACAGGGCAAGACCCCGAAACCCTCTTAGCTGGAGAACTCTTGGAGTTGTTATTGAGAAAAAGCAACTTCTCCCAAGCTCTGCCTTCACCTGGCAACACCTTGATGGAGCTGCCTTTGAAATGCTGAAATGTGCCAGTCACCCCTTGGCTGCAAGATGCCTGCGCAAGAGCTTTGTTTTCGCAAGCGAACAGGAGAGCCAAGGTGCCAAGGCTAATCTCTGTGTATGCATCTGAACCCTATAGAACACGACGTAAATTAATTCAGCCGTAACTTCAGGTAAATTCCCAAGCAGCCAACGCTGACAGGAGCCCTTGCGGTTCATCTGTCAGGGAGATCTCGCTGGGCATTTCAACCCTGACAGCTCAAATGCTGGCCCTCCTCTATAGCAGACTTCAGGAACAAGGCTGGGACCAGCAAGGGGATGGCTTGCGATGCCTCCTTTTTGGAGTTACAAGCCCTGGGGTTTGGGAGCAATGCATCA